CCTTACTAGCATAAGCGATAGGCCAACCTTCCTGCATTAATACAACCCCTATTCCAGCTCCAGAAGCATCAGATTCAATCACAAATATCTTATTAAAATCGGGTAGAGCAAGCACGGGTGTAGTAGTCATTGTAGTTTTCAAGAATTGAAATGCCTGAGTTGCCTCTTCTGATAATCTGAATGCATTTTTCTTTAGAAGTGACGTCAAGGGGACACTAATTTTGCCATAATTCTTTACAAACTTTCGATAATAGCCTGTTAGTCCCAAGAACCCCCTTAAAGCTTTGATTGACTTTGGAATTGGCCAGTCTATCATCACTTGGATTTTTGAAGGATCAACTGCAACACCCTTTTGAGATATGATAAATGTAATAGATTTCTTGACAAAAAGACCATGCTCATGAAGAATATTAAAGACAATTCATAAATGTAATAAATGACTTTCTAGGGAATGACTGTATATTAAAATATCATCAAAGAAAACCAAAACAAACTTACGGAGATGAGCCCGAAATATGTCATTCATTAAACTCTGGAAGTAGAGGGCGCATTGGTTAACCCAAAAGGCATTATTAGAAACTCATAATGACCGTTATGTGTCCTGAAGGCAGTTTTCTGAACATCCCTTTCATGCACTCAGATTTGATGATAGCCCGATCGTAGGTCCAATTTAGTGAAGACTTGAGCTCCTCCCAATTCATCCAATAGTTCATCCACTATTAGAATAGGATATTTATCTTTCACTGTAATGTTGTTAAGTGCTCGATAGTCGACACATATCTGCCATGAGCCATCCTTCTTTCTGACTAGTAAGACTGGGGAGGAATATAGGCTAACACTAGATCGTATAACTCCTGTTTTGAGCATCTCTGTGACAATCATCTCTATCTCTGCCTTTTGGAAATGTGGATATCTATAGGGTTGGACATTGGTTGGTGCCTTCTTGGGTAATAGTGGGATCCGATGATCATGACATTTAAGATGTGTAAGTCCGTGTTGCTCTGCAAATATATCCACAAACTCTGTTAGCAATGATTCAATATTTCTAGTCAGAATGTTCACTATCATTTCCTTTTCAATGTTATGCAATTGCACCAAAAATCCAGTTTGTGTCTTCCGAAGGACCCGCTCCATCTGATGGCTAGTGATAGTTGTAACCTTACCTCCCCGTCTTCCTTTGAGAGTCACTTGTCTTCCATTAATAAAGAACTTCATAATTAGTTTAGAAAAATTCCAGGAGACATCGCCCGGGGTTGATAGTCATTCAATTCCGAGCACCACTTCATAGTCTTCCAAGGGTAATAAAAAGAAATCCATAAATAATTCTTGACCTTGCAAAATTAGTTTTATCTTTGAGCACTTGCTGTCACAGGTTAAAATCCGTCCATCGGCGAACTTGACTTCAAATTTGTCACAACATTTGATGTGGTAAGCTAATCGGGCTGTAACTTTCCTATCCATAAAATTGTTAGTGCTACCCATATCAATCAAAACAATGATAGACTGGTGTTTCAGAGTTCCCCCTATTTTCATCGTTTGTGGATTAGAGTAGCCAGCCAATGCATGCACTATATATATGACGGCTTCAACATCATCATCGGTTTCCACTTCTTCATGATCGAAATCTGATACTTCTACTTCTGGTTCCTCCTCGATTGGTTCAATCATCAAAAGTCTTCCTTGTTTGTATCGGTGCTCCTTACTATACTTTTCATTGCAATGCCAGCACAAACCCTTCGCTAACATTTCTTTGAGTTCTTCTCGAGTTAGTCTGCTAGTGTTATGGTTTCGACTAAGAGTAGATGAGGTAGGTTGCCTGCTAATCACTTGTTTATTGGCACCTCTATTTCGACGATATTCCACACTGATTTTTTCTTCATGTAGGCATGCAAATGAAATCGCAGCCATCATAGTGCGGGGTTGATGAGCCTTAACCTCGTACCGGATCTCGGGAATAAGCCCTTCAATAAATGTACCCAGAAGTTATCGTTCTGACCAATCTCCAGCTTGGTTGGACAATCTTTCAAATCTACTTTGATATTCTAATACTATAGAAGTCTGATGAATTTTGGCGAGTTGGCCATCAACATTTTCATATTCGGATGGGCCAAAGCGAACAAGAAGCCCTCTTTTGAACTGCTCCCACGAAGGAATTCCATGACAAGTTTCGTACCAATCATATCACTGGATTGCATCTCCATTTAGTTGGATTAAGGCCACTTCTACCTTGGATTCTTCTGGGGTTTTGTGAAAATGAAAAAAATTTTCTGCCCTAGAGATCCAACTGGTCGAATCCCCATCTTCCCATTGTGGAAATTCTACCCTGATGCGTGGGTAGTGTGTGTCACTATCCCGGGACCCTTTTTCTGTATCTCTCAATCTGTTCAACGTAG